GGAATGCAGGGCTGGCTTCTGGTTGAGTTGCCCTTGGCCAAAGTATTCTCTCCTTTAAATGAAAGTCATTAGAAGAGTTGTTGAGACGAGTCCCCTGGATTCTGGGCCTTCAGCCTTTTCCTTTCTCCTTTTTGCTAATACATAAAAAAACATTTCCTTGCTCGAAAACAATATATTTCCATCTCCTGTATTTTAGCTAACATCCCTTTAGCACAAGGCCTCCCTATTGGACCCTTAGACAGCCCCTTGTTTCTTTATTGGTATGAATCAGAAAGAAATAATGAAGAGTGATACATGTCTTATGGCCAAAGGGAAGGCTGGCATTGGTGGAAACCTCAGCTGCGGAGCTCCTGCTGGTTGTGCATAAGAAGCAGAGGATCCAGCATGTAGACAGTGCACTGTTGAAGGCTTTTAAATTTCCTCTTAGACAGTCCGGTGTGCTTCATGAAGGCATCAGGAGTTGTGGGCTAGTTTACAGCAGTCTGAAGGCAGGTTGTCCATCCATTGGCAGTTGGTAGATAACATGGTGCTTTGAATTTGGAGCAGAGTTTTTACAAATGATACAGAATTGTAGGGCAAGCTCACACATAACTTAGCACCCACCGAGGTGTAGGCTTACAGGCAGGGTCCTTGCTTTGAAAAATTGATCATCCTCCAAATACTCTCTCCTGTAAATGGTAAGGTCCAGAGAAACTCTTAAGATGGATTTATACAAAGTGTTTTTCTCTCTCTTTATTCTCTGCAGGAATTACTCTTCCTTAATGAAGACTGAAAACATGTCCTCGAATCAGGTATGTCCTGGATGCTGCAGTGAGGACCTTGTGGCCAAAGGATTGAATCCAATGATTTGGCAGTGAAAGGTGCTGAAGGTCATAGATCTTTCTTGCATTCCCCTCCCCCAGGCATTCTTCCGGACTCTGGGAAATTTTATTCCTCAGGTTTTGGGACCTGCATGGTCCAAAAGCATGAGTTGTTGGTGGTGGGGGTGTGTGTATTGCAGTGGGGAGGATGAAACTGCCATTTCTGCCTCTTCCCTCAACGTGGCTCTGCTGATGAAAGTGCAAGGAAAGGGCAGTTTCACCCTCCTTTCCACCCCGCTGCAGCCTCCCAACCCATGTGGCCACGAGACCGTGCAGTCCTTGGGAAGAAACTTTCCTGAGGTCAAACAAAGTTTTCTGGTGGAAGGGAAGCATGAGCAAGATCAGCAGTCACTGTACCCACATCGCGTGGGATCCGTCTGAGAGTGCGCAAGTGGGTTGTGTGGCTGTCATGCCAAACTCATTTCTGTCCCCCTCACCACTTCCCTTCTGAAGTTCGCCGAACAGATTTCGAGTACTCTTGGCTCTCTCTTGGGGTGACTAAAACTCAGCTGGAGGACAGTCCTTGCCTTTGGCTTCTTCCCACTCTACTTCTGCAAGAGAAGTGGGATGTTTCCAGTGCCTCTGGGCAAGGATGGACAACGGAGCTCCGACAGTTTCCGGAGTACATCCTTACCACTCTGAAGCTCTGCGGGAAAGTCTGTTTTAATGATGCTAGTCTTCTGCACTAGTTTCGCAGTAGGGGCTTTCTTTCCAGATGCGTTTCCTTTGCTTATTGTGAGTCCCCACGCATGCTCAGGGAAGACTGCACATAAGTGAATTCCCACCTGTAGGAGATTTACTTCATTACATCGGTTTGTGCAGCATTCTTTTTTTAAAAATTCAGTCAGTGAGAACTAACTTTGGAATGCAATATAAGTAGTGTAATAATGCAATTGCTTTGGACGATTAAAAAAAACCAAAGAAAAAGAAATCGAAACAATAAGCTAATTAACCGGAAACTGTTCCGTGGTAGCGTGGGGTTGGAGGGTGGGAAATGCAAATATGGAGGGAAGGAGAGGGCAGACCTAGGGTTGAAAAACACTGGATGAGAAAGATTTCCCCACTAAGTTGACGCGGGTTCAGTGCTGGGATTACAAAAACTTCGCAGAAATGGGATTCAGGGGGGAGGAGTGCGTTTTTACGCCTGGGTGGGCGAAATCATCTGCGGAAATCAGGGAAAGCCACGGAGGAATAGAAGTGCAGGCATAGGGAAATCTGACACTGTGGAATCAGTCCCTGTATGGAAACATGACATCTGCAGTGGGGTAGAGGAATGGAGGGCAGTGGTTGTGGTTGACTGACCTGCCCCTTTTTTCTCATTTTAACAAAGGCTCAGGGAAAGATTTTTTTTATTTGATTCTTATTTTTTACTTATGAGGGCTGTTGGGTACTTTTTTTTTTTTGCCATACAGTCACAGCTGAGTTATGGTGACCCTGTAGGGTTTTAAAGGCATGAGATGAACAGAGGTGGTTGCCCTTGCCTGCCTCTGTATAGCAATCCTGGACCTCCTGTGGTCTCCCACCAGAGTGCTAACCAGGGCCAATCCTGCTTAGCTTCCAAAATCTGATGAGATTGGGCTCGACTGGGCTATCCAGGCTAGGATGTGAACTGCATTATCTTTGCTGATTCGTATAGCTGCTTTTGACCCAAACATCAAAAGGCAAGTTACTGTGTCTCGTTCCCTACCCGACGGCAGAATCCTTCACATCTATCAGTCCCTTCCGCACATATGCATCAATTAATCCCCATGTCCAGGTATTTCATTATCAGACATTATCAGACAGCTAAGCCAGAAAGGGAAGTGACCCACCCTCTCATATGCGTACCCCTTAGGTATGAGTCAGAGCTAGGGAGAAGTTTCTTTCTGATGGTGGTCAATTAAATCCTGGTCAAAAAAAGGAGCCATTTTGGGCTGACGACTGCGGTACCTGTCATCCTTTAAAACCACACAGTCCTCAAAACATCCATCAAAGAATCTCTTCTACCTTTCCTTCCACAGGATGGCAACGACTCGGATGACTTCATGTAAAACCAAGGCGGCACTCACCTCTCAGAAGACAGAGATGAACTGTGACATCATAGCTCTTGGAAGCTGATGGTGAAAAAAAAAACAAGCAAGTGAACCTTGGAAGTCTCCACGCTTGTTTCCTCGCTGGCCATGCCTGGGAGGAGATGAGCTAATTCTCCCAGAGAGAGCCTCTGGGAGCTCTGTCTTGTAAGCCACTATGGTGTGTGTATTATCTGGGGGATGGGAAGAGGAGGCTTCTTTTGAAAGCTGTTGGGCCAGGCAAGCGTTGCTCCTGCCGTAAGCCTTCCTTGGGAACAGATCAACTTGGAAAGCTTGGCCATTAGAACTGCTGACCTGAGGACATCATCATCCTCATCTTGTGGGGGTGTTCCTTTTTGTGTGTGTGCTAATTTCAGACTGCACCAGAATTTTGCTGTCCCTCGAAAACTCCACAGGGATTTGGTCTTTACACAGCTGCGTTTCCACACTGTAAAAATGCTTGCCTGGATCCTTTGCCCATGGATGTCACAGCCTCCCCACTGCACTATTTAAACCTTTGTCGGCCAGAGTTGGGGCAAAGTGCAGAACAGCAGTCATCGAAAAGCAGCCCTCTAGCAAGTAAGCCAGTCCTGGAACCATTGTTCGCTCAGCCTGTGTAGCCACTGTGTAGCATTGGCCTCAAGCGTTCTATAAAGCCCAACATCACTGTTTGTTCTGAGGCAAAGCAGCATGTGCCTGATGCATATAGCCTATGCTCCTTTGTGGTCTCTCTCCAATCCCAGCCATAAAGCTGGCAGCTGCAGGAATGTTCCAAAACTATACCAGACAACTGACACTTTCCCCCCACCCCAGGAAGTTCTTGATTGTCTGCACAAGCCTTGACGGCGGGCCAGCCTGTGATAACTGCGCTCAGGAAATGTTCTCTGCAGAGTTTCCCACCACAGCAAGGCTTAGGCCTGGGCCTCCTGCCTAGACATACAGTGCCATGAGGGGTCAGAGGCGATAGACTGGACTGTGCCACTTCAGACTGCAGGTGGTGAGGGATTAAATAATTTCTAGGTCCTCCATGACAAAGTAGTACAGCATACAAAGAGCCAGACTAGACTCAGGGAGAAATAGTCTAACTTAGTCTACGGATGGTATGCCAGTTTGCCATTTTCAAGGAATTACTGTGGACGAACTGTGAACAGGGCAGTCCTTTCTTACAGTCTGAAGTGGTACTTTCTGTTCTGTCATCTCGGAATTCCTGCACTTCATCCTGCTACATGTGTTAGACCAGGCCTTGGTGTGTCTCTTTCCTCACCTTAAAGGAACCCTATTCTTTCTTGTGGAGTTCTTAGTGTAATCAGGCGTTCTCTTTTGAGCTTTCACATGAACCCCTGATGGAATGAATAAAAGACATGGGTGGCTGCCAGGAGGCCTCTGCCACAGATGAGCATGATTGCTCTTTGCTTTGCCTTGGCGATGAGCCCATGGTGGGCTCATGCCTGCATTGTTTAAACAATACTGAGCCAGCATTATTTTCTTATTTTTTTTGATTTACATTATTTATAGTCTGCTTTTCTCACTTGGACTCAAAGGTGGATTATGCAGAGGTCAGTACAATCGACAGGATGGGACATTCAATGAACAATGCAATAGGAATTAGAGCTGTAGAACCAAACAGAACCGAAGCAAAGCATAAGTTTTAACATGACACATTAAATGATGCAAAATTTACATAGTAGGATCTTAGTTTCATCCAGCTGTACACAGTAGTATGGACCACAGTCCCTAATAATTTATCCAAGTAACTTTTTGAAACATTTAGCACAGGGCATATCGCAATTGTTCTTCTAAGCTTAGATTTGGGTAGAAAGTGCTGGCTGCCATTATTGCTGATCGGTTTATGCAGTGCTGAAGAAACCTGGCTTGGAGTCCATGGATCAAGCGTGCTTGATGGTGGCACTTTCCTCCAGCGCAAGGGTTACCGTGTTGGGGAAAGTTCCATGGGCTGGGGGAACATGCTCCTGTTAGTGGATGATCCATGGTGCCCAGCCCCGTGTATTCAGTCCCAGCTCTTCCAACATCATAGAATGCACAGAAGAGCTCAGGGTGGGGCCTCAGCCCATTCCAGTCCACCCCATCATGGCTGGTCTGTTTCCTGAACTGTCCCTAAAGGAGCGTTCTAAGCAGTCCAACAATCTGGGCCGAAACCGCTGAAGAGTTGAAACAGGATCAACAATTGGGCGATCTATACTGTCAAGCAGCAAATTCTAAGAAACATGTGAGAAGGTTAACACCTGTTAGGCTGCTAGTTCTGTTACTGGCACAGTGAATGGATTATTAAAAATGTGGTTTGTGGCAGAGATAAAACTCAGAAGCCTCTGAAGTCATGCGCAGAACTGTCAAAGAGTCTCCTTTTTAAGCAAGAGTGCCAGTTCCTTGGCTAGAGCAAGATTGGCTAGATTATCTGGAGCTGCCTCTGTGTGTAGGCACATGATCTGCATGTGTCAGAGAACACTGGCTACAGATTTTTCCTATTGGACTTGGTGCTAGCATTTCTTCGCAGTAGTGGCCATTTCTATTTCCTGGGGTGCACTTTGGACCCCTTTAAGCATGGAGCAGGTGGGAAAGTCTGCCTTTCCAAATCTGAAGTGTTACATGAATGCTGTTATGCCTAGAGTGATCACGGTGAAGACTGGAACAGCTTATGTACATACACTAGAATTAAACACATTGTTTTATTGGAAAGGGCCTGTATTCTTTGGACTTCTCTAAGGTTTGGTATTAAAATAGGAATTGGGGGTGTGGGGAAATGTCTGCATTGTAGGTAACGCAAGGCGCTATCAGACATGATACATATTTTATTCCTAATATGCTTAGTATTTTTAAAGCACTTTAGGTTGTTCAGAACACCTCACACATGTTGATGTGATCCTTAGAACAAACCTGCAAAGTAGGCCTTTTGGTGCTTGAGGGGCAACATAAGGACAGAGTAGGCCTCAAGGAGCTTGGGGGAAACAGTGGGAGGGCTTCTGGAGTCTGGCCCTGCTGGTGGACCTCTTGATGGCACCTGGGTTTTGGCCACTGTGTGACAGTGTTGGACTGGATGGGCCATTGGCCTGATCCAACATGGCATCTCTTACGTTCTTATGATCTCTCTTATGGCCTGTTTGGGGGGGTGGGGGTGGAGTGACTTGCTTAAGGCTATCTAATGAGTTCACAGGCTGCAATGAGATTTGAACCAACAACTTTCTACTTCAGAGCTCCATCTCTTATGCCACAGCAGCACTAGCTCTGAGCTTGCTGTCACACAAAACTCCTGCAGTGTTTTGGATCACATCTGTGCTAGTTCTCAGGCTATGTTTTCTGCATATGTAGTCAATTCTGATCCTCTTCTGCTTTCCTCCCAGACCATGCAGACTGAGTAGGAAGCTGTCCTATGTATATTTCAAACTTCAGTAAGAGGAGTTTTGTTTTTAGGTAGTGCAGATCCTGCAGCAGTGAATTCTGCTGATGAAGAACATGTATATCTCATTTCAATTTATTTTCCTAAAGCTCTACAGAAAGGGGAAGGAGAGGTGTGGAGCATTTCTGTTTGATCTGCTGACCACTTCGTGGTTTTCTGGCTTATAAGATCTTGCCCACATGCTTGGAGATAACAAAAGGGAGTTAAATGCTGATGTCTCTCTTTGTGTATTCACTAATGAGTGTGAATTTCCATGACTTTGTTGGTAGGCTTCTGGAAAACTTAGGGAAAATAAAGGCAAAAGGGGCCATAGCCACAAATGGTGTAGAACTGGGGAGGGCCTTAGCATATGCTTAGCATGAAGAAGACTGATCACTGGCTTTTGGCGAGACCTTTGCCAGTCAGAATAGTTGGTATTAGGCTACATAGGCCACTGGTTGGACTCTTTAAGAGGCAGCTTCTTGTTTGAGAGAGGGACTGATGAGTGGTGAGTTTTTCACACCATGTAGCTTGGTTTCAGAGATAATTTAAAGTGAATTCCCCTGGGAATGTCCCCAGAGCATTTCCTAGCACTGCGCTACACGGAATGTCAATATATCCTATGAATGAAGGATAGTGCGAGACGTGCAGGTTCCAGAGCACCTTGAAATGCAATTGGGGGGGGGGGGGGGTGTCTGGATTTTGGCCAAAGGTGCTCTGCTTGAGTGAGGTTTGCCCAGTCTCCAGGGTATCTGGCTGGCTGCTTGGAAACAGGATGCTGCACTAGAGGAACTTTTGAACGGATGCAGTGGAGGAGTTCTAGATTCTTACCCTTTGTGTGTTGTGTAACCGGGGAAAGAATTTGTTTTTATTTGAGCTCCAAGTAGATTAAGAAAATCTGTTTGCATGACCTCCCCTGCCCCAACTGTTTACTGAGGCTTTTCACTTTGCAAAAATAAAGTCACTTGCACAACTTGGATCATGCACAGTTGAAGCAGTGATGTGCCTTTTAAAGATAGCATTTTGTCTCCTGCCAAAATGTTTTGGGTTTTTTTGATTTAGAGATGAACTAGATGAGACTCATCTTTGTTTTTGTTTACACATGAGAGAATTCCATGTGGGTGCTGCCCCCATGTTGGACAGGAGTCCTGCAGCTACAGGAACCTGCACGTTAAATACTGTTCATGTAAGAGACTAGGACCAGTAAAGTGGAACTGTGGTTATTGCCGTAATGCTAGCAGGAAAGAGACAGTCCGCAGCCCTGCTTAAAAGCTGTGCCAAGAGACGAGAGGATCTTTGTACAGCGATGTAAATTAAAATTCTGGGGGAGGATGCTCTTGTTATTCATGTGAATAGTGAAATATTTTATCTGAGAAATGAAATGGTATCTTATTGCACTGTTATGCTAAACGTGACAGTTTAGAGAATACAAGAAGGCAGAGGCCCTTCATCAGAGACCCCTGCACACTGAAACCCCTATATCGATTATTTTATAAGCACTTTTATTTTTTTGGATGCCCTTAAGCAGAAGCCCCACATCACCAAAGAGTCCCATCATGTCACCTTTCGCTGTGAATATCTGCAGATGCAGCCGCCTGAAGAAGTGCCCCTCCTTCCTTTCTGGGTGGTGGCCACCAGGAGGCGACATGTCTTAAGCATTCCCTGTAGCCACACACATGCTTCTTATTCACAGATGGCTTCTCTTCCTGCTGCTGTGGTCCATTTTTGGTTAAGGTTTCCCATAAAAGGAGCAAAGGTATTAAAGAATTTTAGACATTCTCAGGGGGCTGTGGAAGAGATCTGGGTATCCACTCTGGGAATTCTGAGAGCCAAGTGGATCCATTAAGGTAGGGGACAGGCAAGTGAGGCCTTTGTGTCAGATGCGTTAAGCCTTCTGTGTCAAGCCGCCTCCCTCCCTCCCTGATTAATGGGCCTGCTGTGATCTCTGATGTTGGGCCATTTAATTTTAAAGAGTTTCCAGAGGTGTGCATCTTTCTGAGAGGTTTCGGCATTCTCTGATGTGTTAGCAGTTATTCCAAAGTGTGAAAAGCAGTCTCCCAAGCAGGGAAGTCATGACTTAGAAAGTGTAGTTTGGCTCGCTGGTGCAAGCAGCGCAAGTGGGCAGAAGACGGTGACCGGGATCAGTAGTGCACCTCGTGCTCCCTTGCCAGGGTCACACAGCATGAGTAAGTATGACCATAGGAAGTAGAGTCGCCAACTCCTGGTTGGGAAATTCTTGGAAATTTGGGGTGGGAAGGGCAGTTTTGGGGAGGGGCCTCTGTGGGATATAATGCCATACAGGCCCCCCTCTGAAGCAGCCATTTTCTCCAGGGGAACTGATCAGTTGCAATTCCAGGAGATCCTAAGGCCCACCTGGAGGTTGGCAAGCCTCCATATGAAGCTGCCTTAACCTTAGAGCACTGGTTCATTTGGTTCGGTCTTGTCTGTTCTGACTGGCACTGGCTCTTCAGTCAGTGAAGTGAGGTGTATTCTCTGGCATCTGCTGCTTTGAGGTGGCAGGGACTGAACCTGGCCCTTCCACGGGGGAGGCAAGGGCTCCACCACCAGGCCGTAGCCCCTCCTCTTATGGCAGCAGGTGACTCTTGGATCTCTTGTGGTGACCAGCAAAAATGTCTTGAGAGAGACCTGACAGTAAGGATGGACTTGGGACATGGGAGCTCCACATGCATCTGCCTGCATGGCACCTTACAGATCTTTTAAAAGTGAAAAAAGGACGTGTTCTTGCCTCGAAGGAACTTCACAAGATAAAATAGGCATTAGGAAAGAGAAGAGAGGGAAAGACTCGAGTACGAAAGGATGAATATTGGACAAATGTCTTGGATCTCCCGGTCTGTGAGTCCCTAGGTCAGCATGGTAGTCCAGGAGGCCTGCAATTCTTCACATTACAGCTGGGACAAGTATTTCTCACTCTGAGACATTCATTTTTGGCAGTCTGCCTGCCGCAAGTGTCAAGTGTACGCCATTCATTAGCCTCTTTTCCCCCTCAGAAGTGGTGAAAGCCATCTGGGCTGGTTTCTGGTGAACAGGGAGACGCTTTCAAGGAGAGTTTTTAGGAGGCCTGTGTGAACTTAACAGCAAATACCACAGTCCTACGCCAAGGTGATCCAGCTTTGTGCCAAGAAAACCCAAGTCCGGTGATCTGTTTGTGTGATTAAAATCAAACAGAATAGCAAATCTTTGCCTTGGTGTGCATAATTCTGCCTCTTGACAGTAAACTGACATGGGGGGAAAATAACCAGCTGAAGCTTTCCTCACTACTTCTCCCCATGCCTGTTTATTCACCGTCACATGTTGGGGTAGCAGCTGAGCTCCCATTTCTGCCTTGGGCTTTCCTGCTTTGAGGGAAGGCTTTCCCTATGGGGCTTGCTTGAGAAGGAACTACTGCAGGTCTGCTGTGGGACTTCTAGAGGGGATTCTGGGGCATATTTGTGGTGGCACTTGTCTGGCCTTTTGGCTGTCAAGACTCAGGCCCAAGCTAGAGATGATGATGTACTTGTGGCTGCCATCACCTGCAAGGACTGTGCTCAGTGCTCTCCCTAGAAGATGTGAGGGCAGCCAATGGTGTTTTGGCATGAAACTAAACGGTGAGGTCCATCCCTGACTCTCCCAACATTGTTTAACGCTCTGTAAAGTTTCCCCCATGATGTTTTCCTGTTGTTGATCCCAATGGTCACCAAAGCTTATGTGCTCTTGTACTCTTGCCTAGCTGATTAACTTGTAAGGAGCCAGGGGTTACCTTGAGCACAGTTTGAAAATCTCTGAATTGGACCTTGTTCCCTCTATCTTTCATCTCCAGTAAACAAGAACTCTCTTGTTTCTGGTGGGTGAACTTCACAGTTCCATAATTAGACACCATTATAACTCGGGAATGAGGCAATTTAAAAAGGGGTATATGGCTGAAATTGTCCTGGAGTCCTTTGGGTGTGTAGATTAACTGGCCACTAAATGATAGTTTCTCTGTATTTTCCCCTCCTCCTACTGATGTAAAAACAGGTGCGGAGGGCTGATTTTGAGAGAAATGTGACTTGAAAGAGATTTAATGTCTCTTGCCATCTTTTCTTCTCAGTCACAGCTTCTTGTGGCAGGGTTGGGTTTTTTAAAAAAAACACAACTTAGATGTATCTCCAGCAGCATCTAATTTCACCCTAACCAGTCCGTAACCTTTTGGAGCCTGAGGGCACCGTTGGAATTCTAACACAGGATGATGGGCGCAGTGACAAAATGGCTGCCACAGGAGGCGGGGCCCAAGCGCAGGGGAGAAAGAGAGGTCATTTTAAAAGACG